ATAAAACTATGAAGACACTCAAAATAAATTTCCTGTGGTGGGAAACTAGTTTGTGCAACTTTTTTGTATTTACAGTTTTGAGGGATGAGCCTCTTAAATTTCTCTAACTACAAATATATGTTAAAAAACAAAAACGATTTTCAATTTTTTTGTAGTTTATTGCACTTTTTTTGCAATTTATGTAATTACTATGAACTTAATGGATACATATTATTAAAATCTGGGCTGTAATGGTTGTATTGATGTATAGCAACTTGAAATGCACCCAGGGGAAGCTCCATCCGGTATTTACCTCCAAAGTCCCATAAAAGAAGCAGTCCCATTGTTAGCATAAACTCAGCCACCTACAACATTTCCACCTCGCCACCATCCTAGTGGTGAACACCCCCCCATCACATGAAAAACTCCAGCGACTCCACCAACAAGGTCCAGAAACTTGGATCCAGATGAGACCGTAGTGTCCTTCGATGAGCTCTGTTTCCTTGCACACCTCCAGCTGAGGCGGTGGAGGCAGAGGCAGCAGTTAGACCTCCGCCTGCTACCACAGACTGTAACTACAACCGGGTCCCTGCTGTTCTTGGTGACAGTGTGAGTCTGTTTTGTGTGTTTGTGTTGCAGGTGTGTAACAGCAACAGGAACTGTCACTGCGAGGTGGGCTGGGCTCCGCCCGACTGCAGGTACTCGGGTCACGGCGGCAGCGTGGACAGCGGCCCGGCCCGAGCGCCTCGAGGTGCTTCGCTCTGAGCAACCATCCAAAAATGAGACGATCCTCGTCTTCTCCGCAGCGCCCGTTAATCCTTCGTGTTTTTGCGTTCAGAATCAGATCCCGTTCGAGTCGCCCTGCTTGTCATCTTCCTCTTCATCCTGCCGGTGGTCCTCCTCTTCCTCGCTCTTCGGTTCCCTGGTTTCCGTCAGCGTCTCTTCTGCCTGGGACCGAACAGCCCATTTCATAAAGCTCGACAGCACAACCGGTAACCCTGTGTGTGTGTGTGTGTGTGTGTGTGTGTGTGTGTGTGTGT